TCAGTTCAATATATTCTGAAGGGATTAATATTCTTCCATCCTTTGCTTCAAATAAAGTTGTAGGTAAGGTTGTGTCATCCCCTCCCCCCCACTTTTTTTATTTTTTTAGGTGTCAGTCTGGGGTTTTAGAGCCATTGTGTACCAGGCTGGGACAACCTGTTTGAACAGCTCTTTAACGTAGTGCAATTCACTGACCCTGCAACCATAAAAAGTACTACAGAAAAGCTGGCTACCATATTGAACAACATAAAAAAGGAGACGTGGCCATTGAAGGATTAGAGATGACCCTCTCAAGCAGACAAGGATGGTGCACTGTTGACTGCCTTATAGGCAAAGGCACCAAAACACAATATTGGCCTGTGTCAGCAAAGTCTGTTGTAAAAACACTATGCAACAACAGCAAGTACAGTAACCCAAGCAAGCAACACGCAGATATGATTAGACACCTGACCTGTGAACAATTTAAATCACCCTATGCCAAACTTAATTTAACCACCTCCATCTCTGACGAGAGTTTGACACAGCTATTAAAGTGATCAAGACTGGCAAAGCTGCTGGACCAAATAAGATATTCCCAGAATTTGTTACCAAGCTTAGAACCAGAATGAAAAGATAGCTTCAGAAATTCATACGTAAATGTCTAGAAAGTAACAGACTTCCAAAAATCTGGAGAAAAGCTGATGTCATTTCTTTTCTGAAACCGAGTAAACCACCAAAGGATTCAAAGAGATACCAATCTATCTCTCTGCTCTGCATTGCATACAAACGCATGCAGCACATAATCCTAAATAGAATAGAGAACATCATTGATTCCCATCTCCCAGAAGGACAAGCTGGCTTTTAGAAATAGCGGTGTATTGCTTACCAAGTTACATGACTTACATCTGATATAGAAAACGGATTTGAAATGAGACAGAAAACAAGCATGGTTTTTATTGACTCTACAGCTGCTTATTGGGGCTGTGTGAAGCTTCAGTAGCCAATTCAATTTGGAGGAGATTTGGCCCAATTTGGCGGCCAAATCTCTGAATCCAAATTGAATCGGGAGACCCATTAAAAGGTCTGAATCAAATCGGAAGCCTCCAAATGGATTCAGAAATATCTGGAAGGCTTGTAGCAAACAGAAACTGAGAAGAGGGAGGGGGATGGTGTGATCTTCCATGTATGGAAAAGGCTGAGAAGAGGGGAAGGACTGTTCTGATACTGACATCTGTAGCTGGCCAGTAACTGTGATCTTTCCCCACACACGCAAGTAATACGAGTTTTGCTTTCAGTAGTGAGGTGCACTTCCACAGAAACCTCTGCACCTATCTCCTTGAAACTTGGCAGGCTTCACGCCCTCAGAAGGGGCTGCCATCCCTGCTGTTTTCATCTGAATCTGCAAAAAAGGACAAAGTTATAGGTGTTTTAGCGATTCCCCATTTTAGTCTATGGCCAAATCTCCAAATCCAAATTGGCCAAATTGAATCAGGACAGTGACTCAAATCACTGAATTGAATCATTGTTCATCTGAATTGGCCAAATCCAAAGCGAATGCTTGCTGCTTTGCACAGGCCTATTGCTTATGGCACTGTATGACACCCAGGGCTCAAGTATAAATAGCACTCTGTGATACCTGACTGCAAGCTATGTGCTTTCATCATGAACGTGATCTCCAGCAGATCATTCAAATTCACTACCAGCCAAGGAGAAAAAAGTAAGTACAAACCTTGAAGAACGGAGTCCACCAAGGATCAGTGCTTGCACCAATACTTTTCAATATGTGTACCTCAGACTTCCTGCGTACAACACTTAAGCAATACATGTATGCTGATGATGTCGCCATAGTAGCCCGAGGAATAGATATGACAGAACTGGAAAAGACACTGAGTGCTGACACTGAACTCATCACTGACTATCCACAAGTGGTGCTTAAAAGTTTAGCATCAATAAATCCAGTATCATCATTCTTTCACGTTGACAGTTGTCAAGCCAGAGCACACTGAATATCAGAGTTGACAACCACATCCTTCCCCATGAGCATACCCCAGCATACCTAGAGGTTGCATTAAACCATTCTCTCACCTTATAAACATCACATTCAGAAAGTCAGCAGTAAAGTCCCTGCACAGGTAGCTGCCTTAAAATGTTAAGGCAGCGTGACATGGGTTGCCAGCTTCAAAGCACTCACAGTCACCTCACAGTGCAAAGGAGATGACTGTTCTGTATGGTCCAGAAGTTGTCAAACTAAAAAGCTTGACCCTGTACTTAACAGTGCACTGAGATTCCTAACAGGCTGTACTCTTTACACACATATGTACTCACTATATTCTTGGGCTGTAGACCTAGTGATATAAGAAGACAGAGACCCTAACCTTATTACTGGCAGTAGAGGCAAGAGACAACAAAAATCACCTGCTTCATCAACTGTTAACTGAAGACCCAAACAGATGGAGGCATAAGGGGATTAAAAGTTGTAAACTTTTTGTATGTGAAGCCCACAAGCTCCTTGAAGAGATTAGGGGTGCTGAACAAAACCTTTGGGCAGCAATGGGGTGGGCCCACTGCTGGGAAAGGTCAGGCCTATGCCTACATTGTTTTATACCAACCTCAAAGGAGACCCCCATTAGGCATGACCTTGAGTATGGGTCAAGCTGAACAGACTGAGATCTGGATATGGCCGCTTCAAAACAGCAGTTCACAAGATGAACATTTTGGACAGCCCCCTTGTGCGTATGAGGTGTCCAACAAACAGCACAACATTAATTGAACGGTGCAACCTCTATAAATGCCCAGATGGGGTAGATAGAATCCATACATGAGCAATAATACCAGACAGTGGTTTATAGATTTGGAAATTGGTATCAGATACCACGTGATAGAGAGAGTGTCTTGGATGTGCCATGTATACTAACTGTTTTTAGAAAAAAATCATCCCTCCTTTCGTTTTATCTCCACCTTGTTAATTAACATGGAAGGAAGATGATGTCTGTAACTCTAGTATTAGTATTTATTAAACTCATGCTTTCTGTTCTGTGGTGCTTCCTTGGTATCACTGGTAACAGCTATTTGTAGGGACCTACTGAATTTGCAACAGAAATGGGGTGTATGGAAGCTCCTTTGATCTTGCAGGTTTCCCTGCATGCTGCCTCTACCACTGATTGGCCCTACCACTCCCCACTTGCTCCTGATCAGCAAGGAAGCAAAAACTCTGGTTTATATCTGGCGCTGTTTTTGCCTCCCTGCCTGTCAGCAGCAAGCAGCAGGGCTGCTGAGGCCCTTTGGCCAATCAGCAGAAGAGAGGCAAAAATGGCACCATATTTAAAACTGTGGCTTTCACCTCCTTGCTGATCAGGAGCGAGTGGGGAATGGTGAGCAGCAGGGCCTCTCCTCCAAGAAGTGGCAGGGGAACTGGCAAGGAGCCCCCTCACACCCCACTCCTGCTGCAAATTTGATATGTCCCTAGTTATTTGTAATTAAAAAAAAAAAAAAGGCATCTAATGAAATTATTGTACAGATAAAAATTAACTGAATTCTAGATCAAAATCTGTGGCAACGGATGGACTTCTTAGCACTTACATCAGAACAAAGAGTGTTAGTAACATCAACAGTTCTTGCAGGGAGACACTGACTACTGAATTTGGGTCTTGGCAGGTGCTATGAAGGAAAACTGGTTTTAAAACCATCGTCAGTATAAGTAAATATTTGTTGTTAGTGATTGGGCATTCTTAAGTAGGCTTTCTCTTACAGATTTATGGCCTATATTATATAAAGTTATCTAAATACATGTCTCATAACTAGGGGTGCACCAGTAGAGATTTTCTTGGCTGATACCAATAGCCGATTATTCACCAGGCATATCGGCTGTTACCAATCTGATAACCAGTTTACAGGGGCACAGCTGGGCAGCTTGGAGAGCAGCACCCTGCCAGTAAGTCTGAGGAGGGGAAGGGGGCATGGGGAGGGCAGATTGAGGCCCCCATGGTGAGCAAGGGAGAGGGGCAGGGACTTGAGCTGGGGGCGCTGTCCAGCTAGGATGGTAAATGGGACCCTGGGGCTGGGGCAGGGAGCAGGAGTGATCTGCGGGTGGCTACTCCAGGGGAATCAGTGTCCCAGCTCTTTAAAATGGCAGGGGGGGAGGAGGCGGGGTAGGTCCTTGAACTAAAGCTTGTCCAATGAGCTTTAGTTGAAGCACTGCCGCCACCATTTTTAAGCGGAGGAATGCTTTTAGGAGCAGAGCCAAATGGGGCGAGGGCAGATGTGGGCTGCCTGCTGCAGGCTCAGGGCTTTCTACCCTGCTACCTTTGTCCTGGGAGCTGTGCACTGGCTGTGCTGTTTCTCTTGCCCATCTGGTGGTGGGAGGCACAACTTGCTGCCCCCACCGCCATTGGGTGGGCAGGGGCTGTGCAGCCGGTGCAGGGCTTTTGGGGGAAAAAAGGCATCAGGGCAGAGAACCCCGAGCCCACAGTAGGCAGCCCGGATTCTCCCTGCACAGAAATCTGAGGGGGAGCACATGCCCTCCCATGCCTCACCTGTCCTGCTCCCTGCCCTGGCCCCGGGGTCCCATTCACTGCCTTGGCTGGGCAGTGCCCCCAGCCCCTGCCTTGCTTCCTCCCTCACCATGAGGGCCTCGATTTGCCCCCCTCCCCTCCTACCTTTCCCCTCTACAGACTTACCTGCGGGGTGCTGCTCTCCATACTTCGTGACTGTGCTCCTGGCCACATTCATGCTGTGGCTGTGCACATGTATGCAGTGTCCAGGGGCCCTCGCCAGAAGGCATATTTATTGGTATGTTATTGGCTACTCCGTCCAAAAAAAGCTGATAGCAAATAATGTTAATTTTCCCTTAATTGGTGCCCATCCGATATGGCACTGAGATATCCATGCACCTCTACTCATAACTGGTATGTTCTGGATTTTAATAATCTGCATTAAAAAACCATTACAAATTTTAGTATGTTTTTAGGTTAACAGTTCTCCCAGTTTTCTGTAAAGTTTTTCTCTTCTGTTTTTTTAGGCAAAGTGTAAAGTTGGAAAAATGGAGTCCATGCTTAATAAATTGAAGAGCACTGTTACAAAGGTAACAGCTGATGTCACCAGTGCAGTTATGGGAAATCCTGTTACCAGGGAATTTGATGTTGGCCGACATATTGCCAGTGGAGGTAATGGGCTTGCTTGGAAGATCTTTGATGGAACTAAAAAGTCAACAAAACAGGTGAGATAAGTGAAGAGAATGTAGAAGGATTTAAAAAGAATGTACTGTTCTGAAAACTGGTTTTAATACTACTGATACATGGAAAATACTGTTGTAGTTGTATATGTGTGCATATATTTGTATCAGTGTCTGTATATGTGTGCATATATTTGCACCTATGTATTAAGAGTCTTTATATGTATTTAGCATATTCATGATCTCCCAGTATTTTCTGTAACCATTTTTTCCTTTTATTGACTTGACCATTATATACATTTTATTTTGGCCTCAAAAAGCATTATACTTTTTCATAGATTGTAGTCGAGAAGAAACAGATAGGGATGTGGCTCCTGAAAATATTTTCTTACCAAACCTCTATCAGTAGAAAGGTTAGCAGAATTTTTAAGGAGATGATCATCTGTGGCAGAACAGTCCTGTCTTCAGTTGTTACTGAACTAGAAGCTCTTCAGATAATAAATTAGTCATTTTTTATTCTGAAACACTTTCTCACAGCCTTGTTAGAATCTGTACTTTCTATTATTCAAGCTATGAGGAAAGATTTCACAATAATAAAAACTTAATGAGGTTACGACTAAAATAACCCAGAAGGAAAGTAGGACAAAGAGGCTTAGTAACCTTTTGAAAGAATGGAAGTAAAGTTTCTTCTGGAAAAAGAACAGATTCGTTTTGGAATGCTAACTATTGTTTTAATGGAAGAGAATGTTCTACTTCTTGTTCCAGAAAAAATTCAGTAAAGTATCATATATGCTATGCCTGTATTCAAGTATTGCGGGGTGGCAAATATTTGGGCCCAAGGGCCACATAGGGAGTTTTGGTGACCTGTCGTGGGCCAGGTTAGCACTCTGCCTCCCCAACCCTGCGTAACAGCTTACTCGCTATGTGGCCCAGGGCGGGCCAGGTAGGTGGGGCTGGGGTCGTGGGGCAGTAACAGTACAGGGCCAGGGTTGAGCCATGATCTGCTGCCTGCACGCCCCTGCGATGGGTGCTGGCTCTGTGGGCAGGGATGTGTAGGGAGCGGATCACAGATCTTCCTCTGGCCCTGGCCCTGTGCTGTCACTGCCCACTGACCATGGGGTCTCCATGGAGACAGGCCGGGAGCCACACAAGCGGGGCTCACAGCTGGGGGGGATAGGATAGGGTTGCAGATGTGGGGGGTTGGGTCTAGTATCTGGTAGTCTGGTATCTTGGGGCAGAGGTGTGGAGCTGGGCCTGGGGCAAAGCTGTGATCCACTGCATACCCCTGCCCACAGAAACTGTACCTGTCGCAGGGCCTTGTGGGGAGCAGATCACAGCTCTGCCCTAGGCCCCGTGCTGTCAGTGTCCCGTGATCCTGGCCCTACCTACCTGTCCTGCACTGCTCCTTGCCTGCCCACAGCCCCATCCCATCCACCTGGCTGTGTGCCTTGCCTGCCTGGGTCCCACCCCTGGTGCTGGGTGTGGGGCAGATGGACCCAGGTTACCAGGCAGCAGGGCTCAGTCCAGCAGCAATTGCAGCCAGAAAAAGCTGCTGCTGCTGGGAAGCGAGTCTAGCCCCCATGCTGCCACAGCCCTGCTGTGTGCCCAGGGGCAGTGGGACCAGCCGAACATGCCATGGCCTGGGCTACCCCCATGCCTGGGCCAGGCAGGACCAAGGGGACCCACTGTGGGCTAGAGAAAATCCCTTGGTGACTTATTTTGCCCACCCCTGAATTATTGGATATAATAGCTTGATAAACTCTATTACACAAAGAAAACCTCTGCATTAAAAGAACCTTAGGATTACTGTCAGGCACTCAGGTTAGGAAGTGCCAGCATTAAAGCTGTCCGTGCAGTCTTAATTTGATTCTCCTGGGTGTATGCGTAACAATACAGATATGTGACATGATTACATACTATTTTTCGTGCAAAATGGTTGGTTCAGTTAATAAGAAGCTATTTGATCATTTGTTTTCTTATTTTTAAATGTATAGTTCTAGGCCTTGTTTATTGCATGATATTCAAAACCTCCTAAGATGGAATGATTAATTTCCTCATGGAGTCTTTGGTGATGCTTATCACAATAGTATTTGATCACTTGACAGACTGTAACAAACTATTTTCACAACATCCCTGGATGATGAAGGGGTGTGATGCTCTGCATTAACAGATGGTTAGCTGAGTTACTGAGACAGTAAGGTCAAAAGTATTCATTAATTTTGGGTACCCATTTTAAGACATCTGTGGCCTTGTATTCTTTTCAGATCAGTGAGCATTTTATATCTTCAGAGAACATTGACTTCTGCTGCAGCTGAAAGCACCCAGTACACTTGCAAATCCAGCCTTGGAGTCTTGAGTCAGGTTACCAAAGAGTAATGAACACATAATTAGCAAACCTCTATGAAAGGCTGATTTAATATTCTGCCTGCCATAATATGTGAGCTCTGTGACAGAAGCAGGGAAAAAATCTGTTTCTTAAGAGTAGCATTCAGCCTAGGACCATCATTTTTACAAGGTTTTTCTTACAAACTAACGGCAATTTCAAAATAACACAATTTTGTGTAGAGTGATCATTTGCTGGCCCACGTCATAGGTATTCCAGCAAGTCAGAAAATTTTTGACAGTATCGTAAAAGAGGTGTTTTGGTTCCTGTGACAGCCACCCTTCTGCCCGTAAAAAACCTCCTTCAAGGGCCCAAACGAGGGTATTTATATTTTGGTACTGTCCTTCATTCAACATGCTCTCTGGTTTCTGCAACCAGTGTAAATGGGTCCTATGGACAGCAGTCGTTTTCACCACGCAGTCCTGATTCATGCCCAAAAACGATCCATTCTGTGCCCTAAATAAGGCAGGCATCTTGTGGAAAAATAGCATGGGATCCTGAAATCAAACATGGTATCATAATACGTGGGCTAAAGAAGGCTAAACTAGGTTACACAGGCAAGTTTAATTCTGGTGTTCTCTAACTAAACCATTGACTTTACCCTTATGTTCTTTTACCTCTCTTTGCTTATATTCTTTTAACAAGAGTGGGAGTGTGTATATGTGGTTTCCTAGGCTTTTAAAAGCAAGCTTAAAAAAAGGACCCTTTTATGTGCTACACCATGATAAGGCTCGTTATCATATGGTAGTGGTCCGGAAGAGTAATAGCTAGCAGTACTAGCAAGTTTTATCCTATTATGTGGATCATCCCTAGAGGAGATTGGGATTCTTTGCAAACAGCTACTTGCTGACATCAAAGGAATAGTGAGACTCGAGGGAATTTTGGGTTCCATTTAGAGGTGCACCGCTATATTGGTCCAATATTGGATCGGTACTGATATAAAGGAAATTGGCTGTATCAGAAATTGGCCCAATTTAGCCGATAAATGCATGCATGCAGCTGCAGTGCAACACTTGGGCAGTGAGGAGTAGAGCTATTGTGCAGCTGGTAAGTTTGTTGTGGTGGAAGGGGAGGGAGGAGGGAAGGGGCGTGGGGGGGGGCATAGCAACACACCCCTCAGTGAGCTAGGGGGACAGGGGCAGGCACTGCCCAGGTGGGGGGGAGAAGGGGGGTCCTGCCTCTGCTTGCAGCCTGGCAGGGCATGGGAGGGGTGCCCCTGGATCTGTGTGGGGGAGGGCAGACAGGCTGCAGCTGCAGGATGGGGCTGCGCCAGGCTCTTCTCGGTGGGGAATGAGCTCAGGGCAGGTACTACGTAGGGGGATACAGCCACCCCAGATTTCACCACTGGGGCTGTGCCAGGCGCATGGCAGTTCAACACTTGGCCTCCACCCATGCTGTGCTGGGTACATGATGGTGCTGGGAGTGGGGCTGTGGTGAAATCTGAGGTGGCTGCAGCCCCCTCTGTGGCTCCCACTGAGAATAGCCCGGTGCAGCCTTGACTCCAGCCCGCAGCTGCAGTCTACCCACCCCTGCAGATCTAGGTAGTGGGTCAGATGAGTAGTGCAGGTCAGCTCGACTGCACAACATTGGTCTATGGGCCTGATGCAGCACATGGGGCCATGTCATCTGACCATAGATTTTGAAAATTTGGTAATGGGGGATTGGTGGCAGTACTAATTGCCATTGCTCCACTGCCACCAAATTTCTGGACCTCTGGGAAGACCTGAGGTCCAAATGTCATGGCTTCGCAGGCTGCAAGTTGAGCACCTCTGGTATAGAATAAACACATTGTTTCTTTTTTACACTAAGCTAAGGGTCTTCTTGAAAGGGCAGAAGAAATACAGCTTATTCTTTCTTTTTGGAACGTAACAAAACTAATAATATGAAAAGAAAAATAGAAAACTTAGATTTGTTTCTTACTTGAATATGCTTTCTCAAAATGAGTCTAAATGAGACGGAAATACCAGTTTCCTCAGTGTAGCCTTTGTAAAAGTTTTTGAGAGGCTTGTTAGTCATAATCTACAGAAGGAAAAAGAAAGAGAAAAGCAAGCTAACTTTCAATTACAGCATCAGAATTTGAACCAGGGTTTTTTTGGTGCATATGGCATAAAATCCTAAAATTGTTCTGCTACCTTCAGATCACCTATGGGTTTAAAGTAATAAATCCATGCAAGGAGAAAAGTGTGTTCTAGGGGCCTATACTTAGCAAAATGTTTTTGCCTAGCAGTTCTTTTTCTATTAGAATAGCTGTACTATTTTGATTTTTGTATCCTGAGTATTACCCCAGTGGCCCAGTGAATCGAGTAAAGCGCTTCATTTTAAATTAATATCAAATTTAGCACATTACTGTTCTTCCCACATAAGCAAAGTGATGTGCAATATGCGGTTAATATAGCAGTTAACCACTTTCAATATCAGAAGTGTTGCATTAGAAACTGAAAGCAAATCACCAGACAGTTTAAACTTTTCTTCTGATTTATATGTCTCTACAATTAGATTAAATTTGCATTTTCATCCATAAAATCCATTGTGGTAACAACTGTTGCAAATCTAAAACGCTTATTTAGAACATAAACATGCAAAGTACCATACTGGGTCAGACCAGTGGTCTATCTAGCCCGGTATCCTGCCTCCAACAGTGACAAGTATTAGATGTTTTAGA